GAGCGTGCCGCGGGAGCTCTTCCCCTGCTGGAGCAGCGACGTCAGCTGAGCCCTGTTGCACTGAGGGAACCGGGTTCCAAGCTTCTCCAGAACCTTGTCTAGTTTGCCGGCTGGGGCGGAGGTGGCGGCAGCGGCAGCAGCAGCGGGGGGAGGTGGGGAAGGAACTACAGGGTGGATAGGCTGAACAGGAGGGGACGGGGAGAGACTCGGAGGTGGAGTCACCCTCAGTGGAACTCTGATGTAGGGCTGATACTGGGGCTGAGGCTGGAACTGCTGTGGAGGTTGGTGCCGGGGTGGGAAGGGAGGTTGGAAGTGGTGGTGGGGTGGTGGTTGGTGGTAGCGGGGGCGGTACTGGGGATGGTGAGGGGGCTGGTACTGTTGGTAGAAGTGTGGGTGTCTCTGGGAAAGGAATGGTCGGTTCACTTGTTGTTGTGGAGGAGGGGGCGTGAACTGAGGGCGGACCAGTGACTGCATCACCTGATTGAATCTAAGGTCAGCCTGTGGGAGAGAAAAAAAAAAGTCATTAAATAAAATATAAATACGTGAAACCCCTTGAAGTTAATTCAACTTATAGAATATATATACATCTTTACTGAAATCCTTCCAGTGGGGGGCGGGTCTTACCATGGGGACCTGCGGCAGAGATGGCACATTGATCCTGGGGAGGGACTCTAACTCCCGACCCTGCTGGAGCTGCTGCAGAACCTCCTGAAAACGGCTCTGGAGCTCTGCTTGGTTCTTCCGGACCAGACCTTCCTTCTTCTCCCACTTCTGCCTCTCCTGAGGGTACTGCTGCGGAAACTCCACCCTGAGAGCGTTCAGATACTGCCCCACCTGGTACAGCACCTCATTTTTAGCATAAAAACTCGTATTTGCATTCACTGAATATCAGTTTGTGATCATTACATTCCGCTGTCACCTCGTCCAGCCAGGCCTCGATGCGAGCCATGGCGACGTCTCTCTGCTTTTCCACGGCGGCGATCTCATCCTGTAGGGCCAGCAGCTCGGCCTCCTGCGCCTCCTTCCTCACGCGCTCCATCTCCTGCCTCAGCTCGTCCAGCTCCTCTTGCCACCTCCTCTGCTCCTCGCTCTGCTCCTCTGTGAGCGCCGTTAGCTTCCTCTCACTCTCCTCCAGCTCCTTGGCCAGCCTGGAGGGAGGAGGAAAGACGTGAGTTCTCCTGTTTCTGGGTTTTTTCTTTTATAAAACTCCAACAGCAGTTCCACTGAAGTGATACATCATCAGTATTTAATCCTATACCACCTTCCCTTATCGTTTCATTCATTCATTTATGTCCACTGTGTTCTTGGTTTTTACCTGTTCCTCTCCTCTTCTGCTCTGTTCTTCTCTGAGGTCATTTCCTGTTTCTTGGCTAGGAAGTTCTTCCTGGTGGCTTTGGAGTTGTTCAGCTGCAGTTTAACTCGCAAAGACTCCAGTTTGTCCAGAAGAGCCTGAAAACACAGTCACAGTCAGACAGTAGAATACACTTCCACATCAGCACAAGAGGTCAAAAACTCCACTGTGTGTGTGTGTGTCAGCCTCACCTGGTGCTGGCGCGTGGCCTCCTCCTTCTTCTTATGCAGTTGTTGTTTGTCTTTCTCATGTGACACTTCATCTTCGCCCTGCTTCCTCATCACACTGTCGTACTGCCCCGTCAGGTCGGAGCTGTACTCCAACATGGCCGCCACCTGACTCTCCCAATCCGACTCCGTGTTGATGCCCAGCTCTTTCGTCGTGCTATCCGTCTGCACGGCCTGCACCTTCTGCAGCAGGTCTGGGAAAGGAAACAAGGAGGGCTCAAAAGCAGGAAGCTAGTTTTTAGAACAGTCTGCGTCCCGTAGTTTAATGAGGTCATTATGTTGATGCCTGATTTGATCTGAACAGAGATTCAAGTCTAACAGGATAACACATTATTTTTTTTCAAAGTGTTAATAAATCAGGATGAGTCCGCTGAGGGCAGCCTTTCTTATAAAACTGGTGGGGGATGACGTCAATGTATATTCTTTTATGGTGGATTGTTGCATAC